ATATGAGGAGCGGTTAAGTGAGGTGTGAGGTTCAATGATGGTCCAATTGTCGTCTATTATAGTAAGTGCCTTGTCTATGGGTATGTTCGTAAATAAACTTTCAACATCGAAGGAGCAGAGAATAAAATTGTCTGGAATGGTAAAGGAGATTAGCTGTTCACGGAGATGGAATGAGTTTTGTATATCATAAGGGTTGTTGTGGCTGAAGATTTGTAGGGAAGGTAGTAAGAATTTGCTAAGTTTAACAGAAGGAGAATTAATGTTGGAAGTGATCGGACGGAGTGGGGTGCCGGGTTTGTGGATTTTAGGAAGTCCATAAAAACGGGGAGCAACTGAATTGTAGGAGATAAGGTTTCTGTAAGTAGGATAGTTTATGAGTTTTGAATTTAGAAGATTTTTTAGGTGTAGGTTAAATTTGGTTTTTAATGATGAAGTAGGATCACGGGATGTGGGAGAGTAAGTGGAACGGTCTGATAGGAGTAAAGTCATTTTGTCAGTGTATTCTGTACGGTCCATAATTACAGTTTTGTTGCCTTTATCAGCTTTGGTTATGATTATATTATCGTGGGATTTTAAGAAGGATCGGGTAAAAGAGAGGTCTTTGAAAAATTCAGGAGAAAAAGAAGAAGAGGAGAGCGGTGGGTGTAAGAGATAATTGGAAATAATGTTACAGATGGAAGCGCGTGACAACTCCTTATTTTCTTTTGAAGTGGTGAAAAAGTCGTCTGCGTAAATATATTCGAGATCAGTGATAAGTTGTGGAATGATTTTGACAGAAGTGTTGGGTGTGGAAAAATTAGGTCCTAAACTTAAAATATTAGTGACTTTGGAAGGGATGTCAGTGGAGGAGATATTGTCCACCCATTCTTCTTTTCCTGTAGGATAAACCTTGGTTTTGAGAGTGGCCTGGTACAAATTATTAAACTTGGAAATTAATATAAGTTTCTTCTGTGCTTTAGTGGAATTAAAGATATTGGAAATGCAAAGGGAGAGATTATTAACGTCTTCTTGGGTGATGTTATGAACAAAAAATTGGGTGAGAACAGAAATTTGCTTATGGAGAAAATGAATATTTTGAATGGTTTCACGAATTTTTATGTTAAGCAAAGATTTTTTAAATTTAAAGGAGGAATTTAATAATTTAGAGTTGAACGGAGGTGATATTGAAAAGTGGTCAAAAGAGTTTTCTATGAATTTAGGAAATATGGAATAAGAACGGCATTTGAGAAGAAATATACGCTGCTGGGTGCTATTAGCAAGACGTTGATGAAGGTGACACAGGTTGTTGATGCGCGATTTAAGATGAGGGTAGGTAGACTTCAATAAGGAAAAAGATGTATGAGGTTGGGTGGAGGGTTGTACATCAAGTGCTTGAAGAGCTGTAGATGAAGAAGAAGAGTTGGCATGAGAAAAAGTGATGGCCGGAGATGAAATGTTGACGCGAGATGAGGTACTGGCTGGAGTTGAAGAAGGTGAATGGTGGCTAGGTGGGCGTGGCTAGGTGGGCGTTTCCGGAGATTCATTTTCGACTTGGATAAGAATTTTTCTTTTTTTCTCTAGTTTCCAATTATCATATTCTTTTAAACTTTATATTTAGCCATTTTTTTATAGTTACGATCATTAAAAGAGAGTTAATTTTTTAATATAAACCATATTAAAAAATTAGCATTTGGAGGAAAATGTGAATGAACATTGGGCATTTAATCCCTGTAAAGTGACATCAATGGGGATAAGATCTAAATGATATTAAAGACCACTTAACTATACAATGACATCCAAGACACATATCTATCTTAAATACCTTATATCAGTTTCGTAGGCCTTTTTGTTTTTGAGATAATTAGAGCTAGACTGATAAACACACACACACACACACACACACACACACCATTTTGTGGGGCTTGGTTATTTGGACTAAGGGGACCTCAAAACGTGTATTTCTGTTGAAAACTCTGATTCAAAAATTTTCAAGATAGTAATACTTTCCCTTACTATATATTACATGTATAGGAAAGTGAAAGTAAAAATTTGAGTAAGAGTTTTCCAAAGCGGTAATGGATGAAGAGCTATAAGTTGATGAACATAGCCATGTTTTGAAGGTCACATGTTTTCAAATGACCTCCATTTTTATTTCGGTGAATTCATCCCTGCAGAGATCTATTTTAACTTTTCTTTAAGGACAATTGTCTGAGTTAGATGAAACTGTTTAAAATATGTTTTTCTGTATGAACTCTCGGGGTACAAGAACTCAATTGTTGAAAGTTGCCATGGTCACAGATTCCCTTAAAAAAACTAAATCAACAGGGGATTTATTGTAAGATTTTTTTATGCCCACAAAGTCAGATAATGCCACTCCCTGCAAAGTCAATGTTTAATAATTAAAAAGTAAGCTGAGATAATTATCATTTTATGTATGCCCAATTGAGCTGTTTTTTATTCTTAGAAATTTGTTTGAATGTAAAAATACAGTGTCATACAAATTTTGCTGCTCTTCAAAAATTGCCCTCACAAATAAAGACTGCCTAGTCTGTTCTTAAATCCGCTCTTTTTAAGCCATTGTGCTTATAATAATATTAAAATAAAAAATATTTGAATTTTAAAATATTCCGACAGCGCAAACAATCCAATCTGTCTTAAGGGAAGGAAAATGATGTATATCTACTTGAAAATTTGAGTGGGTTTTTATATACTGCCAATGAAAATTGAAAATTGGTGAAATATTCGAGTGCCTTCCACACCCCCAACAAAACTCTACTCTTCTGACAATACTTTAATTTATCTTTTGTATGATTACATAACATAGGATTCCAAGAGTTATCTGAATTTTGACATGCGTAAATATATGGAACAGAAAGAGCTGTAATGTGTCTTGGAATGCACACGACCGCTTCACCAAGTTTCAATATTCATAGACACAAACAACTCACTTAAATTTGTATGTAAAAATACATCAATTTCCATCACTCAAAGCGGATAGAATTACTTGCTTAGTCGGATTTTCTTTTTAATTAAAATATTTTTTAATTTATTAAATAATTTTTATTTTTTATGGTATGTATTAACAATTTATTTTCACCACATACCATTTCATAAAATGATTTAATTAATTAAAAAGAAAACCCAACTATACAAATAATTCTATCCGTCTTGAGTGATGGAAATTGATGTATTTTTACATAAAAATTTAAGTGGATTTTTAGATTCTATGAATATTGAAACTTGGTAAAGCAGTCAGATGCCTTTCACGACACATTACAGTTCTTTCTGTTCCATATATCTATGCATGTCAATTATTTTTTTATTATTATTAAACATAATATTTTTTTATTATGAAGATATCATTTCAAATTAATTAATAATCGACATATTTAAACTATAATAAACAATTTGTTTAGTATTTTTTGCTCAAATTGTTTCAAAATATTCACTGGATCTCACAGAGCATTACAACTGCCAAAGTTAAAAATCGGTCAAGTCATCCGTTCAAAAAATGTTTCATATCTTCTAGTGGATTAATTAAACACAATTTACACAGTAATCTGTCAGAATTTCGAGCTCAAAATTGTTCAAAACACTCTGAGACCTCACTAAATCATTTAAGAAATGAAATTTCAGGGGACAACCCAAACACATTACCTTCGTGTCGCTTCGCTTTCAAAAAATGCAGGAGATCCCACCTCTTTAATAATTTAAGATATCGAACTAAAAAATCGATCCGGCCGTTCGAAAAACTTATGAAAAACTTTTTTTATGAAATTTCTTTTTTGATATTTATTACAATCTGTCACATTTAAGGACAATATTAATAGTGATAACAAGTAGCTCATTCATACTATGCACAATAAATAAACAGCAATATGATAATACTAAAAGTAAATGTATATAAACTAAACAAAAATAAACTAATCTAACAAAATAAATACACACATGTTTTTATACAATATTCATGCACTCAAGGTCTCCGAGCCAAGCCTTTACTCGAGGAGGGAAAGGCAGGACTCTATGAGATCCCAGCGTCTTTCACTCAGCCGCATCACTGGTATTACCAATAGAGACTGAGTAGAGAAACTTAATTTAAAAAATTTAAAGATAAGAAAAACTTATCTCTCTTCTATTAGGGCTTAGATTTTACCTAACTTATTTTACTGCTTCTTGTGTTCGTGCATTTTTTTATTTATTAGCGTGGTCGATAGTTTCTAAGATATTTAGCAAAGAATAGATAGAACATAATTTTTCACTTTTTAAAATTTATTAATGATATTTACAACTATATTACAATATAAATACTTCAAGTAAATATGTACACAGAAATATAATAACATGAAAACGTTTGTTGAGGAATTACATACTGGTAGCACTCTATTTTTTAACAATAATAAAAACCCTTTTGCTGCTTCCCGAAAGAAATTGAGGTAACAAAGCTTAGATTCATATTCGGCGTCCTCAAAAAAGTAGAAGTGAAATATCAAAAAATCCTCAAAACTTTGCTAGTAGAAACCCTCCAATTCTTGGATTAATTATAATTAATCGATTAATTATAATTAAAAATTATAATAATTATATGAGACTTAGGTATTTGAAGTGAGGATATATTAAATCAACGTGTATTTTTGTTGAAAACTCAGATTCAAAATCACAATACTCTCCTTTACTACATATTTACATATATCTACATTCAGGTAAGCGAAATGCTCACCCACTTATCTTGCTCCTTCATTCATCCAGGTTGGTCAGTGCAGATAGAAGCTGGTTTGCTAACTGGGCAGGGCTAAATGGTTAGGATTAAATTGGATGTCTTCAAAAACTAAGCCTGTTTTCTCTAAATTATCGATGAGCAACTAAACATTCCTCATAGCATTGAAATAAATGTTAGCTGCTCCATGTAGAAAATAAACTAACCCCTAGAACCAGACACAAGAGGATTTAAAATCATTAAAGTCTAATTATATATTTTAATCTATTTTAACACTTTTTCAAAAACCCTTTACTTTATATTACAGGTTTTCCACTTATGTCATCCAGATGGTAAGAAAGAATCTTTCCTGTGCCCCACAGGAACCAGGTACGATAAGAAGTCGAATCTCTGCAATCCTTGGAGAACTGTATCCTGCTAGCTGTCTCAACCAAGACAAGTGTAAATTTTAAAAAATGATAATGTGAGGATTTACCTCGACATCTTCAACTGGGATGATTTAGGAGTGACTGCATGAAGCTCCCTCCTCGCTTGACAGGCGAATATATTTCCCTTCATTCTTTTGTATTATATTATTAAATAAGATAATAGACATGCTGTAATATTAGCTTTAAAGTTTTGTGGTAATGGATTACAATAGGTACATTTTTTTAATTAATATTTTTGTAAATCGTGCCAACTTTTATAAATATAAATTATTGTTGAAAATATACATGTACATTTATATCATTTTTTATTTAAAACATAAACATAAAGAAAGAAAGATACTTCTCAATTTATCGGAATTTGTTTCTTCATTTGAACACACTTCAGTTAGTCGGTTGAAAGCCGTTACTTAATAAGCAAAAATTTATATTAAATTGGTAAAATTTGACGGAAAGCCGTTTCAGAGGTGTCCATCCCCAGTTTTTTGGCAATGAGTCAGATATGAGACATTGCATCGAATATTATTGTATACAATATCAAATAAGATAAAGTTCACTATATATTTTATACATACTTATTTAATGTAGGATTAAAGGATGAGGAGTTAGAGCAAATTGACTATTTGGATATATCACAAGAAGTCTTGTCGGTTTTTTCGTAATTCTTAATAATTCCTAATATATTAAATTCTAGAAGACATTTATTATATTCAATTTGAAAGAGCGTTAGATTTTCTATAGATCTTATATAGAGACACCATTATGTGAGAAAGTTACCGGCTGTTAAAATGCACGGAATTGAAGGGTTCTTTTGGTTGAAATAGCTGCCACTTCTTGTTAAAAACTGTTCATCTTTTCAATTCTTTTGATTCGGCTACTTCAACAACTTTATTTATAAGAGCTCTAGATTGTATGAAGAAATTATATAACTTTTATATATTCACTTGGTATGAGTGACATCGGCATCCATCCCATTAATAAAAAATTAAAAACTGAATCACCCCTCAAAGTTTGAGCTAATGACTTCTCACACTTTGGCGTATTAACGAATCTGTTCGAGCTTTATCAGAAATGACAAATCCTGTACTTCAAACCTCCTACTCTAGCTCATTGAAAATTCGAACTACAGTAGGCCCAATGTTATTTTTTTGTTTTTAAAAGTAAAATTAGATCAGAGCTTTGCTTATTACCTATATTCATATATTTTAAAGCCTATTTACATTTTTGTTTTGTTATAAGTTAATGGATCAAGAAGTAAAATGAGTTTAATTAAAGCCACATGCGTTTGATAGGGTCTGGCATCCGGGACTAATGTACAAAATCCGTAAATACCTACCACTTACATACTTCCTCATTATCCGTTCCTACTTCACTGACAGATACTTCAAAGTAAATCACAAGGATGCTTATTCATCTTGCTGGTTGGAAAGTGAGGAAAGATTTGGTTGGAAATGAGGAAACACTGGATTAACCAATATGAATTATCCAAATAATATAAAAATATATATTAATGCTAATAATAGAACATATTAATCATTCTAATCTAAGACTTATTTATTTCTAAAAATACATACATTTCTAAAAATACTATTCAACTTGACAACTTATTGTTTTCATTAAAATATGAAGTTTTGTACAATATATTAAATAAAAACCACTGCTGACTAAAAAGAAATATAAAAACTTTATTGACTAAGAATATTATTTTTTCAAATATTTCATCCAAATAATTTATAAAAGAGAACATAAAACACATTCTTTGGTTTATGTATGTTACCATTATAAGTTTATAATAATAATATTACCATTATAAAGTTATTGCCTAACTTTAAACAGTTTAAAAATTCTGGTTTCCACTAGGTAAAAATTAATGACTTCATGAACAGTTAAAGGATATACAATAAACTATCATAATAATTCACAAAGATACATCAACAATTTTTGCTATAAAACAGTCACATATCATAAAAATGAGAATAACAGGAATAGAGAAATTTTGTTTAGTTAGTCCTTTAAACTTAATTGTTGCTTAAAGGAATAAAAAAGTTTCCATATTTTTCCATCACTGGAATTATTTCAATCTAAGAGTTTTAAGACAGTTAGCTTATGTTAATGTAAGGGTTAATTCCTATTTCCGAATGAAATTTGGATAAAAATTATCATATCATTTAAAATGCAATTATATTGTATAAAACATCTCAAAGTTACATTCTTTCTTATTTTATTTTATTTTATTTTTTTACAGAGCTTTGGATTAGATCAATTATACATCTTTTTAATTAACATTTCTCCAATTTTTACAAAGAGGAGCCAAAACACTAAATGCGGGTGGACCCCACTAAAATAAAAATTGCAGTTTAAATCAGTTTTAATACTCATAAAATAAAATATTCTGTATTTGCCTTGTATTTAAATGTTATAGGAATACTATAGAAACATCTTTTTTCTTTATTAGTTTTAATTAATTTAATAAAGATTTATTCAATAACACATTTTTAGTTATAAAGATATAATTCTATAACTTGAAAACTTTAGGAAATTAATATTTTTAATTGAAATCCATTGGTAACTTTATATGAACTCATTAACATTTATAGGCATCTAATACATATTAATAGATAATGTTGATTTGATTAATCTAGGATATTACATGATAATGATGATAAGAAGAACCATTTGTTGTTAGTGGCGTGTTTTCATTTAAATTTCTTTGTGTTTTCAATTCCTGATGGAAGGAATAGACAACAAGGAAGATATAAACCTGCAAAACTGTAACAAAGAATGTATATAGTTATTATCCAAATAAATCTACATTTACTTAAAAATTCAACATACAGAAACTCAGAATTGTACATAAGAAAAGTTTTTTTGGTAATAAAACAATTGAACTGTGATCGAATATGCACAATAAGATAATGAAACATTTTATCAACCTAATTATAAAAAATTGTTTCCTCCTATTTTAGTTTGTTCTATTTAATTAATATAGGTGCTCAGAAACATCCTGTTAAACCTCATAGTATTAATTCTTAAAACCTGATGTGTCAAACCTTGTAACCCATGAACTTATTACACTCCAGTTGTTAACAATAAAACCTGGTTCCTCTTTGTAAAGAGTACTGCTAGACCATCGATGAAATGAATCTATCTGCCACTATTTATGATCATGATTATCCGTACATATATTATTACAGTAAGCTCGAAATCGGTTTTGTACCAAATATAAGCTCCTGTCAAGCTCAAATACCATGAATGGGGTACCGTTGGATTCAGAATTTCACTGGGGGTTAGCGAATCGTATTCTCCGCTTTTGTTTTTCTTTCTAAAATAAATAAAGTCGATACAAACATTTTGCTAGGCTTCAACACTGGAAGGGTGGTAGGTCTGTAGATCGATGCGGGACAAATTGGACCATGAAGATTTTGATGCGTACAGCAAGACCCAGATAGTTCCTCCAGAACTATCGGATCCTGCTTTTTTAAGCCCAAAAACGTACCATTTTCGAGATAACGCAAGGCATGGGGTTCGCATCCACACAATCTGACGTTAATTGTAGTACTGTCATTGGATACATGTCTCATTTCGTCGACTTGAGGTCTCTATGATCAAGACAGGAGGAGTTTATATTATTTATCAATGATGTTTTTGATCGGTAAGCCATATCATCGTTATTTTTTCACCAAATCTCAAGATTGAGCCACCAATTTCGAAGGCTTCCTTCTCCTTCAGGCGGGAAAAATATTCCAATCACCCCGAAAATTCAGGCAAACAAGTTATGAAAAAAAATAAACTTTATTTGCGAATAACTAAAAAATTACACACTTTTCCCTTGGTCATTCCCATTATTGTATAAAACATTACTAATTTTCTACAAAAGGAAAAACAAATCATTGAAATCGGACAATTTTTCGCAAAGATACAGCTTATTGAAATTTGTAAATATGTTGGTTCCAAACAAAAATGAAGATTTAAATTAATTTTGTTTCGTTTGTGGATTATATTTATGGATAAAGTAACAATTGATTTCTTTATCTTTTGATACATTGCATTATTTTATTTTCTTATTAATTTGGCATTTGATAACAATATGCTGTGCGAATTTTTCGCACGGGCCTACTAGTAAAGAAAAAAAGAAAGAACTTTTCTCTTTAACCCAAAAAATGAACAGTACAACATGTGCTTCAAACTAAGCCAGATAACACGAAATATATATTTTTAATTTTTTTATTTACTGCATCTTGAACTGATTATCCTGAAAACAAACTCTAAACCAAATTGGTTTTATTTTTTTGTATCTCCTGTATAATTTATCTAGTTGCAGTTACAAGGTTATATAATTAGAGTAATCATTTGAAAACGTACATTTCATTTTATCACATAAATAGGCATTAAAATGTGATAACTATACATATAAATTAAACTTCTATTTTAATCACACTATATTAGCAGAGAATAGTTTTTTATACCAATAAAAATTCAATACGCTTATTTCTCGTTCATTTTGTAAACAATAAGGGCATTTTTATATTAGTGTATACATCCATACATAGTTCTGATCAAAATTAATGCACCACATTATTTTTTAACCAAAAATCCTATATGATAAAACAAATTAAATCTCTTTTATCTTTATTTATTTTTTTCCCACACAGGATAAATCTCTGTAAGACATCTAAAAGATATCTTTTTTTAGATATCTTAAAGAAGGTATCTTTTAGGTGATCATAGAGTTTGTTTTTTATAAATGTTAAATAAATGTAATATATGATTTTTAATGAACAGCCAACCAATTATTCATTATAAGTAATTCAGATTAAGTATATATTTTAACTTATAAAACAAGTATTAATATGACTCATTTCCAGGAAAGTATATACAATTCTTCTTCGAACTGTCAAGTATTTAAATGAGTTTTTATTGATTTTTAGCGCATATATTCATAAAATTTTATAACCATTATAGTTTTTCATTTTATCTTGACTTAATTAATAATTCAATTATTGAATTTGATTTAGCCTGATGAAGGTCTAATGACCAAACCAGTTGCAGAAGATAATAAACTATAAAAGGAAGACATATTTTTATTTTAACTGACCTACTACTTCTTCAATATTAAACTTCAATCCAAGAATAGGACTAAAGAAAAGGAATTCAAGAAACTTACCATTAGATAATATTATTACCATCACAGTAAATAAAAATGATGAGATGGTAATAAAATGGAGAATTGACATTAGTATAGTAGCTATTCCGGATACAATGCTTAGCCCACATGAAAGGCCTACCAATAAAATCCAAGGTAGCATAAGACAGGTATTCCTCTGAAACAGATCGTTGTTGTTACAAAACAAATTTTAGCTTTCATGTGATAATAATGAATGTTAGTTTGTATAATGTAAAGTACAATATCATATGCTGTGTTGTAGAACAGATAGAATTTTAAACACTATTATCATAAGGCCTATTTTATGACGAATAACTTTTCTACAGAAAGTAAATAACTAATGTTTATTTTTATTGGAATATAAACAACAACTTGAATGTTATCTTACATTCTGTATCTTCTTAAACCCTACTTGGTTCGTTATTATTAACTTATGAATTAAGCTACAGTACTTATACCAAATTCTGTCTCCTTCAACTGATCATCTCTATGATATTCCATCCATAAACTACCAATAGAAGAATTATTTAAAAAGTGAAGATAACTTTTTTTTTTTTTTTTGTGGCAAAATGCACTGCGGCCAAGAAAGCCTATAAGATAACCTCAAATCCTACCAAGATTACAAAAAGTCAATAAATCAACCTTACCTTATATACACCAAGAAGTAGGAATATATTAATAAGAAGTGAAAAACATAGTCCAGCTATGAGCAAATCAACTAAGACTTTCGCAACAAACACTGAAACAAAAACAAATTATAAATACATACACATATGTGGACCATTGAATGTGTCACTTTCAAATAATGAATTTATTAGTAAGAGTATCAACTCCATGCTTTTAAATAGTTAGATAAATTTGGGATTGACTATTTTTAACAGTAACTTTATCTTCCTATACAAGAAATAGCAAGGAATGAACAGTTTTTTTTTTTTTTTTAAGAATCGAGTGTGTTTTTTAAAAATTGGTTACATAGGCTTACTTAATCTACAGAAGTATATATTCCAAATTTATAAGCATTTTAAATTCTATATGTAAAGTAGATAAATTATACCTTTCATTTCAACATCTTGTTTGTCAGGTATAGAGCCTGTCTGATTGACTAATTGTTGCTCCACATACTGAAGTGCACTTGTGTAAAGAATACTCACTGTCACTAGTTCAAGGGATGAGAAAATCTAAGAACAGATCAGATGGAAAATACTGATGTTTAATAACCATGTAGTTAATAGTATATTGTAAAGGTATGTTTTCAATGTTTTCCCAGGCATTTAATTTAATAATATCTTATATAACTTTTTATAAGAAAGTAAGAAAAATTAGAGTAAAGTAGATTTTGAGTAGATAATGGAGTAAAGTATAGATAATAGAGTAAAGTAGATTATGTTTAGTGAATTATATAAGGGGAGTGGGCCAATCATCCAACTGATCATTGGTAAAATCAAAGTATAACTGATTCAAAAAGGATTAAATTGCCTCAGAACTTGACAATCTACTGGTAACAGAAACGGCATGGATAAGGACATTCGACTAGGTATATGGAACATCAAGAAGTATTAAGTGGACATTATAGGCCTCACTGAAACTAAGAAGAAGGGAAATGGCGTTACAAGGCTGGCTAATGGATTTACAATGATCTATTCTGGAATGAATATGAGAGAGAGGGCTAAAGATGGAGTGGCGTTTGCTGTGGAGGATGAACTGTTTAACAGGATGGAAAGCTGGGAAGCTGTGTCACTAAGCATCATATTAGCCAACATCCAGCTTACTATTGGTTGAACCTCAATCATTCAGATTTATGCTCTAATGGAAGACTCACTGGTTGCTGATAAGGACCAGTTTTATGAAGACCTGCAGAGGTCTGTTGATAAAGGCCGCATTGAGAACAGAATGGTTGTTATCTGTGTGTGGAGATTTAAATGCCAGGCCAATGTTAACTCCTATATATATATATATACATATATATATATATATATATATAGGTCTATGGGATGGTGATGAAGTTAAAAATAGTAATGGCCAGAGATTGATAGAATTCTGCATAGAAAATGATATGCTTATTGGGAATTCTATCAATCTCTGGCCATTACTATTTTTAACTTCATCACCATCCCATAGACCTATATATATATATAGTGATGAAGTTAAAAATAGTAATGGCCAGAGATTGACAGAATTCTGCATAGAAAATGATATGCTTATTGGGAATTCTCACTTCAGACATAAGTTAAATCATAGAATTACTTTTGAAGCGAAAGGAAGGGAGGTGAAAAGATTAATAGATTATATTATCTATGACAGAGGAATGTGCAGATATATCACAGATGTAAAAGCAATTACAGATGCAGAGTTAGGCACCAATCATATCCTCGATATGTTGGCCGTAGAAGACCTAGAATCCGTGAAGACCAGGTGGAGAATAGTGAGGATACTCAGGATGATGTTATAGAGGAAGATGAGATTGTATTGGCCATCGAGAAAATACAATTGGGCAAAGAAGCAGGCAAATATAATATTATGCCAAAATTCATAAAATATGGAGAAGATATGGTCAAATGCCTCCGGGACTTCTTTCAAAAGATCTGGTCACAAAAGAAAATACTCCAGAACTGAAAAAATAATATTATAATTTCAATTTTTAATTAAGGCAACCAGACAAAATGCGAGAATTATAGATTAATATGCCTATCCTCTGTAATATATAAATTATATACAAGAATATTGGAACAGAGGCTTAGGAAATTGGTGCAGTATGGTCTGGAAGAGGAGCAAGCTGGCATTAGACCAGGGAGACTAACCCAGGATCATATTTTCTCATTGAGAATGGTTTTTGAGAAAACATAGGATAGGTGAATAAGGCTATTTTTGGCATTCCTGGATTTGAAGGCTGCATTTGATTCGATTCCTCGCCAAGAGGTTTGGAATGCTCTACCATCCAATCTCATCAGCACAATCAAATCGGTAAACCAAGAGCCCAAGGGAATAGTGCGGCTTAACGGATTTGAATCGGAGGCATTTAGGTTTTATAAAAGCGTCAAGCAAGGTGATAGCCTAAGCCCACTACTATTCATCATATGCATGGATGAAGTATAGAGCATCTATAAGCGAAGGACACCCAGAGCAACACTGGGAAACTGGAATTTAATTCCTGTGCAGGGACAAGCTCTCTTATATGCGGATGATGTGGTCCTGTTAGCCGATGCCCAAGAAAGGCTTCGGATAGCTGTCAATGAATGGTCGGAAGAGCTAAAGAGGAAGGGGATAGAAATAAACCCTACAAAAAGTAAGGTGATGCTCGTCGACCAAGGTGTGAAAGAACAAGTTCTCATAAAATTTAATAATGAGCCGTTAGAAAAAGTAAATAACTACCAGTACTTGGGCATGATTTTCAGCAGGGATGGAAGGATCAACTAGAACGTTTTCAATAAAGTCGAGAAGACCAGTGGTGTGTTTTACTCTATCTAAACTACAATATAGGGGGAACAGGAAATAAAGAAGAAAATAAAAATAGCTTTGTTTAAAACAGTATTTTTGCCTGTTCTTTTTATGGTGCAGAGAGAGTTGGACGGTCCTAGAGAAATATATAAGAATGACCCCTCTCTGTATGTCAGAAATGTCAAATTAGGAAGATATAAAAAAATAATAATATTTGGTTGAGGAAAAATTAATTAAGTTTTTCACCAACAGATGATTTTAAAGTCTCTTATCTCTTGTAATCTTTACCCAATAATGCTATACTATAGTGGGTTTGAGAGGTCACAGTCCATAGAACATTCTATATATAAAAATAGAATCATTAGTTTATTCAGTCCATAGTTATTGTGCTCTAAAAATGAATGTTCCAGAAGGCCATTTTCGACATATGCTGTATAACTACAGAAAAAGGAAAAATGCAATGCAGGCTCATCGAAAATGGTATGGTGTTTATACTGATGAGTGTTTAAGCAAACACCAGAGTCCAAATTAATTTGCTCGTTTTCATTCCAGAAATTTTGATGTAAAAGATAAACCTCATCCTGGTCGGCCCATCGTTAAAGAAGTCTATTAAATTCTTCAAAAAAGTCGAGGTAGGCTTGACGTATTTTGTCTTGCAACATTGCTATGGAACTAAAGATCGATCAGAAAACGGTTTTAAACCATTTACATAAGGCTAGATACCAAAAGAAGCTCGATACTTGGGTTCCATGTGAATTAACAGTGAACAATTAAATGAACAGAGTTTCCATTTGTGAATTGCTGCTGAAACAAAACAAAATTGGGTTATTTTTGAAACAAATGATTATGAGCGATGAAAAGTGAGTCACATATGACAATAATGTGTGAAAGATCATTGTCAAAGCTTCACAAACAGTGGCCAAACCGAAATTGATGCCAAGGAAAGTGATGCAGAGTGTTTGGAGAGATTGGAAAAGAATTGTTCATCATAAGGTGCCCGAATGATATAAGCAGGAAAAACAGACAGAATTGATCTATAGGAAAGGTGTTGTCATCCATTATGACAACACTAGACCACACACATCTTTAATGGCCTGGCAAAGATTGAGAGAGCTTGGCTGGAAAATTTAGATACATCCACCATATAGCCTGGACCTTACTCCGTCATATTACCATTTGTTTTCGTCTCTGCAGAACTCTGTTAATGGCATAAAAAGACCTGGCGTGTAAAAATTGTCAAAATCACTTGGTTCAGTCTTTTGCCTGGAAGTCTCAGAAAATCAAATAAATTTGCTTTGAAAAAAATGAAAAATAAAATACTTTTTTCTCAACCCAATATATAAAAAGCTCAAAGTTTTTATTTTTTCTCGTTTATATCACACAATTATTGCTGCTATCAGTACAGTTTTAATTATAATAAATATCACAAGAAAACATATAATGCTTTAATAAAATACAGAAGCAGGAAACTTAGAGGTCTTATGACCCTTGTGGTCAGGTGTATGTTGCCTCCATTGTCCACACATTGCTATTTACTATACTCAAAAAGATAAAGGCTTTGATAGAAAGAGTTTATAAAATATTCTGC